TTGAGACCTGTGAAGTGGCTGCCCAAGCCAAAGTGGGCAGAATCAAAAGCAGAACCTAGATCTTACTGTCTTATCTGTCTTAGAACTCCTAGCTGCTTTCCGGGTTGAGCTCATGTGCCATCTACAGGAAGCTTTTCCTGATTCCTGCATCCTTTCAAATTATTAATCCTTTCTCCCTCTTCAAATGATCATGCCTCCCCTGCCACGTGGATGCTACTTAAAGGCAGGAATTACCTTTGGTCTTGTCTTTGGACCCCCAGCATCCAGCAGTTTCTGACAAAGAATCATTGCTGCCTAGTACATCCTTTTCAGATTGAGTGAGGGGGATTATGTTCCACACCTATGGGGAATCCTGTACTCCCGAAATCAGAACTTCTTTGAAATACTGAATTCTTTTTTTAATCCCAATAAAACAAGTAATAGACAAGTACATAAATCTACACAGCTGATGAAATTAGGGATAATAATAAACCTATTAAGGACTTGAGGCAAAATCTAGGATCTTTTGAGAAAAATGCTAAAATGACCAGAACAGTGCCTGTGTATAAACATGTGCCAGTAAGTCATGTTATTTGCATCTACCATCCTCCCTGCCTCCCCAGGTGGTTGTGAGGCTCAAATGATGGGTAGGAAAGCCCTTTCTGAATGTCAATTCAGTTCGGTGGGGCTCATTCATGAATCTGCCTTATAGAATGGGACACAACCACCCCAGAAGGGCAGGAGGGCAACAGAGCTTCCTTCATGGATGTTTTAAAGATGCACCACCTCCATCACAGGAAGGCAGTGCATAGATGACCTCGAAGATTCCTTTCCAGCCCTAAATCTAAGAGGCAGTTCTAGGAGTTAAAGGCCCACACAGGCTGCAAGGGTTTGTTCGCTGTCATAAAACAAGGTTGGTCATCTCATCCAGACTTTTCACAGAGGAACACTCCCATAACATTAGAAAGGTCCTCAGGCCTCCTAGTCCAACCTGTTTCCTAACAGGAATCCACTGCCCCTGTCAAGTGGACACCCAGACCTTACTTGGAGACACACTGTAAAAGACAGCACTTATCCCCTTCAGAGGCTGGCCATTCCACTTTTGGACAGCTCTGTCAGCAAGTTTAACTTATGTGGGGCTGAACACCATCTGCACCTTCCACCCTCTCCTATTTCTGCCTTTGGAGCCATCTTCCAGATGAATGAACTTCAAATGAAGCTATCACATCCCCCAAATTCCTTCAAATTATCATTTCCTAGTGTGGCTTCCCTTCACATTTTTTTTTCCTGATTCCTAATTCAACCTTTCTAGACCAGTTTCCTCACCAGTTAAATGGGAACTGTTGCAGCATTGGGAATTTTTATTTGCTGCCTGGGACTCAAAACAGATATCCTGATGCTGATTTAAGCGCACCTTTCATGACAACATTCTATTTCACTCAATATCCAGAACCTACTAGTGTCTGGCATTGTTGTTTAAAGCACCGAGGATAATAAAGTCCAAAAGACAAAAAAAAAAACTCCCAACCCTCAGTCCCTATCTCAAAGAGCTTATTGTATATTGCTGGGCTATGGGGCTGGGAAGGGGAGTGGTTTATAACGCAGACATATAAAGTATTAATGCCTGTATTAATGAGGAGGGAGGAGAAGTAGAGTAGGGATGAGAAAAGACTTGATGAATAAGAATTCTAAGGGGTGGAGATGGTACATTACAGGCATAGGACGCAGTGGCAAAGTAAAAAATAGGAGGTGGAAATAACCCTCCCAGCCTAGTTTGGCCTAGAACAGTACATGAGGAAGCAGTAACGTGAGGCAAGGGTCATGAAATAGGACCCAGCTTTAGCGTTGGGAAGGGCCCTTAGGGGCTGTTTAAAGATAAGGAAACCAAAGGCATGCTTCAGACTTGAACTCAGATTCTCTAACCTCAAATCTAGTGATTTTTTTGGAGCCAGATGGTTGGAGGGTCTTAAATGCCATGTTGAAGAATTATTTTATCCTACAGGCAACAGTGAACTAATGAAGGCTTCTAAGCCAGGGAATAACGTGGTCTGAGTTGGGCCGCTCTTTAGAGGATGAAGACGTAAAAGACTACAAGAGACCAATCAGGGAGGCGATGATAATGATGTACAGGAGTGCTGGTGAGGGCCCAATCCAGGTGTATGAGAAAGGGGCAGATGGAAGAGACATCAGAAATAGAAACAGTGAGACTTGACAACTGCCTGAGAGGGCTGAGGAGTAGAAAGACTTAGGAATGACTTCAAGGTGATGACCCTGGGGGACTAGGAGTCATACAGACTGAGGGGAAAGAATTTTGCTTTTTTTTTTAAAAGACATTTTAAGACTGAGATACTCCAGGGACATTAAGATGGTGAGGTTCAGCGGGTACTTGGTCATGTCAAAGTGCAGGGCCACTGAATTAAAATTGGATATGGTTATTTGGGAATCATCTACAGTGTGACAAACTGGGAGCGCATGCATGGAGAAAACGACTCAAGATAGTCTTGAGGCCCACCTGCCATGGGGAATGAGAGAGAATAAATCAACAAGGGAAGAGTGAAATGGAGTGGTCAGAAGAAATCAAGAATGAGCAGCACCACACAAGTCAAGGAGAGAAAATGCTGAAAGAGGTGATCAACAGCAACAAAATTTACACACAAGTTAAGGACAAGGACTTAGAAAAGGCCACCAGTTCCCTTATAGAGCAGTTCTGGTAACATGGAAGGTCAGGAGCTCAACTGCAAGGGATGTGAAGTGAGTAGCAGGTGGTAAGGAAGTAAAGGCTGTCAGATCAGAAAACTTTCTTGGATTTCAATAGTGAAAGGAAGAGATAAAGGTTGACAGCTTGAGGGGTAGAAGGGTAAAGTAAAGATTTTTTAAGGCTGAGGAAGAACTGAGCATTTTCTTAAATAGCAGGGAAGGAACCAGAAGAAAGGGAGAGTTGGTGGTAAGAGGAAGAAGGAAGAAAGTTCCTGGTGAAAACAAGAAGGGGATGGGATTAAAGGCACAAATAGAGGGGTTAGGCTTCACAAGGTATACAAGGACTTTGGGGTGTGGAATGGGAGAGATAAGAGCTCTAGATTGATGGCCTTTCTAAGCTGGATCATCTGCTAAGAGGAAAGGAGTTGGGATCAAAGTAAAAAGACTTCAGAGGGGAGGAGTTTTGAGCATGGCCACCTATGAGTAAGGGCCCAATTGAAACTAGAGAATGTGAATCTGTAGAGTTCCCAGGACCTCCTCCAGCCAGACCAAACAAAGTGAATGGCGCGGGGGGCGGCGGGAATGGAAGGGTAGAAGCTAAAGGATTCAACAGTGGGCAATGTATAATTGACCAATTAACTACAGGGCCAAGTGCTAAAGCGAGACCAGTAAGGACACAGTAGGAACGACAGATTAGAATAGAATGGGACTTAAGGCACCAGAGGTCATGATGAAGAACAGGTTTAGGAACAGAGCACAGGGAGATCATAGGATCTAAGATTCAGTGACTAAAGAGACCTTAGGGGCCATCAAAACCATCCCTTCATTTTACAGATAAGGACGTGAAAACTGAGGTGGTCTTTCACAGGGTCATACAGCTAGTAAGGGTAGGAGGACTGAACTTGGCTCCCACATCCAATGCTCTGGTCACTGAACTGCCACGATTAAGATCACAGAGTTTCAGAGTTTTGAGATGAGTCGGCAGTTATGGGCTATGTGACCACCCATGGGTGGCTGAGGGAGAATGAAGATACTGAATATTGGGACTGAGAATGTTGATGACTCTAAGATTGGAGTGTTCAATGGGAATTCAATATGCATGATGAAGTTTTAAAAATTTAACTTAGCATGAGGGCATGGGCTGGGGTAGAGAACACTGGGGAGAAGCCAAGCCTCCTTGAGAAAGAGCGTCAGAAGGACCAGAGGATGAAGCCACTCAAAGCCAAATTCAAAGGGGAGGCTGGCTGCAACGATGGGAGCAGAGGTACGGTCTGATCTGGCAGTGGGGAGCAAGGTACATGGGAACTCCTCCTCATGGCCCAATGTGTCTGAGAGCACGAGAAGCCACCACTAGCACTAAGAAAGATGCCCAGGGGGGTGGCATCTTCTGGAGAAAGCCAGATTCTTGTGAGCACCCGAGGATGGAAGTGTGGTAGGAGACAGAAGTTTCCCAGCCATAGGGAAAGAACCAAGTGATCAGAGACTGACAACCCACACTGCCACAAGCATCACTTTCAAACACCAGAGCTGGGGGGAGGGAACAGTGTAGACAGAAGTCTCAGATCCTCATCTGACACTTGGAAGTCCTGAGGCTTGCCTATCTGCAGAGGGGCCTTGAGGCAGGAGATCCAGCGGATGTGACCATGTGCCACTGCTAAAAAGAAAGGACAGAGGAGGAACCTGGGTGGGGTTCCCTGGGCCTTGGTGGTCAAAGGGCACCACCTTCTGTTGTGGTCAACAGGACCCATCCTTTAGTTGACATCTTACTAGTCTGAGTGCTTTTGAGAAGCCAAAGGTCCTTCTACAGGGAGAACAAGAGAAAACAGAAAGATGTTTCCGAGGCATTCCTGTATAAAGGCTCAAGCCAGACTTTGTGAGATAAATACTGATGTTCCCAGGACTTCCTTGGCTTGGGGCATGAACAAGAGATTCCACGAGACCTCTCCAAAGATGCACTGGTCTGACATTTCAGGGTATGGTGCCCACACAACACACAGATTCTATTTCCCCATGATGCCACTACTGAATGAGAGGCACAAGGCATCCCATAACTCTGCTAATAAATACAGGGAAAGGAAAAGCCACGGGGTACTCAGGATTTATCCCCATTATCACAAGGTGACACCTTGTGGACAAGGGGAACCAGCCCTTCAGCAATAAGCTCGGGGTCACGGGGGACACCCACACGCTGAAGAACACAGAAGAGCGCAAAGCACGTTTCAAGCACACACCATGCTCCTGAACCAACAGTCAAGGGGAGCGGTGAACCATGCCCCAAACCCAACACCACAAAGTGAAAACAACAACCCAAGTGGAGACGTCAGTGGCATTTTGTGATCAAATTTATTGTCGGTTCCAATTTCAATTACTTTGCCTTACTGTAATTTACACAAGAAACTGTCGAGTAAACAAGTTATTTTACAGTCACTATACGATCCCTCAAATTTCCACAGTGAATCATTAAAATCCATGCGTCGGGTGCTCCTGTCCACTCGAGTGCACGCTCCCCATGATGCTGCAGATGCCAATGAGGATCGAGTCCATGAAATGGAAAGAGCCAGACCCTTCATCCTGACCAATCAGTAATAATCCTCTTCGCAACAAACACTCCTCAGACAAAACAATTTCACTTTGACAAGCCTATTTTCCAGCGATGCACAGAAAGTAAACATCGTGTTCACCCTGAGTACGCGGAAGATGTGTGAAGGTGGAGCTGGGGCGGGGCTAACAGGACAACATGATGCAAAGCGTCCCTTGTCCGTATCATGGCAATCATTTCACTAAGGAACAAAAATCACTGTGGAGAGATGCAAGGGAGCTAGCTGAGCCTTCTGCAAATTAAATGACTGGTAGGATTCATCTACTGCAGGAGGGCATGTTTTAAGTGGAAAAGAGCATGATTTTCAATTTCAAGGTTTAAAACCTTGTCCTACACAAGCTTCTAGGACTGAGAGGAGAAAAAAGTTGAAATCTGACAAAGAAACCCAATAAAAAAAAAAAGCCAAAAAACTCTTACTTATGTGTTGATCCTAAAATAACTTCTTTGTTTCTATCTAACAAGCATTTTAATAGATATCTAAGAGAGGCTCCAGGTGAGTATTTCCTTAAAAAAAATCCTGAAGATTTGAGGACCATCCACAAAAGGGTTGGAATTATACCATCATCTTCATAGCGTGTCTTCAGACAGAACGAGGAGAGACCCGTGGCTGGCCAAGCTCTACACTTTCATCTTATCTGAAAGTGAACATCTCTCTTCTAAAATGTATTTTCAACATGAAAAGAGCTAAAAGTCATCATTATATTCCATTGTGTAAGTTGTGAGAAATCGAGGCCATTTGCATAGTTTCCAAAATGCAATTTCAGAGAATAGTCATTTCAGACACAAGATATTTGATTCAAGGGAAGTGCTAAACTTCCAACCTCTCTAATGAGCCTACAGTATTTTTTTATTGAGACTAAATACTATTATCACCCATTTCTTTTGTGCCTAACAGGCTCTCTGAAACATTTAGAGTGTTTATTATAAATCACAAGCCAGCGTCTTCCCTCCACTTTTTTTTTGCCAGTTTCTGATGTAGAAAAATACTTGAAATTTAAATGTACAAAAATCCAATAAAAACAGGTACAATTTTTAAGGATTTTTTTTCTTCAAGGGCAAGTACAAATGAAATTATAGCCAATTCCTTACTCATAGAAATCCTCAAAGTTGGCTGTAAGATCGTGACCATCCAGAAATAAATAGCTATAAATACATTCATAGTTTACATTCCAGAATCAGAGGGAAAACAAAAAATTCAGAATAAACTTTTGCTTTGGGAGTCTGTTTACTCATGAGACTAAAATAGAAAGTTTTAACAGACATTTAAGAGAACAACAAAAAAGTATATATTGGTCCACAACTTGACATCCATGAAACATACCAGCTAGCATTACATTGTAGTCAATTCATCCATTAATGGCATTACTCTGATAATTATTAAAATCTGCTTCAGGTATATATAATGAAAATATTTTCCTTTGCATTTTTGCTGTAGGTACAGTACTCTGGAGAAATTGTACTAATCCCCTAAGTAGATGTATGTATGTATGTACATATATACACAAGTGCGTGCATGAGTATCTATAGCTCCACATGCGTCTTATAGACAGCTACAGATACACACACACATATACATATATACACACGTGTCTGGAGAGCGGTACATGTGTACAGATCGTCACACGCACATGTCTGTGAAACATCAACACTGCAAGTTACTGGTCAGATCCCTCCTCATTCATCATGGGCAGCACTGGTTCCCCTCACTTGACCTTGATTACGTAACTGTAGGAAAATGGAAAGAGAAGGGGAAAGGAAGGGAGACAAAATTAAGTTTTAAGCACTGCAAGACTTCACGTCAATTTTACAGAAAAAAAAAATGCTTAACATGGCAAAACCTTTATCAGAAAGTCCATTTAAACTGAAGAGATTGCTGCACTTTAAAAACCCTATTTAAGATTTGTCTTATTAATGGCATAACACTTCCCCATTGGGGGTAGAAATTAAGCAAATTAATCATTTGAAAAGGTCACTGATCTTCGCAAGAATTTAGCCAAAGTGATAAGATGACAGAAAGTAGCCGTACAAACGATGGGCTGCAGCCAAGGCCTCTCAGGGGATGCTGTGAGGTCACCCGAAGCTCCTCCCTCGGGCCCAGATGGCCTGTTCAGTCTCGGTTCCACAGTGAAAGGAGTGGGTGGCCTGGACAGAAGGTCCGGTGAATGTGGGCCACGGAGCAAGGGTGAAAGGACCCTTTCACTCGCTCTTTTCTCCAATAAAAATCTTACTTAGGAACAAGGCCACCAAACAGCATACTCTGTGCTGCCCTATTTGGCTCTGATGCTTCTGGGGACATTGTGACGGCTGCTTCCTTTTCACAAAAGTCATCTGTCCCTTAGTAAATAAATGTGCTTTGGCCTTTAGATGAACTACCACTCCAAAGACTACAGAAAAATTTACATTGCAAACTAAAATTCAACTTAGGGTGTAATTACAAACACAAGAAGCTGAGATGCCTAGGGATTTAAGAACTGAGGATTTGGGGTGGCAGAGAATTTTGGGGAGATCAGTTCAGCTGTTCCACGATGCATGGCAGGGGGAACTGCTCTGTCACATCTGAAGGACTAACTAAACCTCAGCAGATACGGCAGGTAATTATTGTATTTAAGTATCACCTTATAAAGCATTCAAAGGTACCAGGATGTAGAGGAAAAATTGTTGACTTTAGAAAGATGGGACCTGGGCTGGAATTCCAGCTCCACCAACTCACGACTTCTATGATGCTCAGCAGGTCACTTCCCCTCCCCCCATCAGCCAAAGTCTCCTCATTAAGCTACAAAAAAAGTGGGCTCCCAAGTCAAGGCCACACTCAACCACACTTGACCATCTTATAAATGTAGGAATGGCTTGATGACTGATCTCAATCGGTGCCACAGATATGTCTTTATATGACAAGAACTGAAGTTCTGAGAGTTCTAATGTTCATGGTTTTTATTCTACGTGGAAGTTTTTCACTTTTAGAAATGAAATCAACAGACTATGGTGAGCCTGTGCTCACCCAGTAACGCCCCATCACCAGAAATGTGAGGATTTGGAGAAGATGGAGCAAGAGGCGGGGGTGGAGTCCTGTTCACCCCGCCCTTCACTTACACAGCTTGATATGGCCTCTGACCCTACAGAAGATTCATCTAGACATCAGCAGCCGTTGTCCCTCGGACGGAACCCTTCTTACGCATCTAAACGTAAAATAAAACCGTGAGCTACTGAATCACAGACTCAGAAACTGGGGTTAGTAAGCAAGACGGCAAAGATGGCATACAGTGAGAGCTGCCTTACAGTCGCATCCACATTTGGGAGAAAGTTGCTAGGTCTCCCCAATATGCTTGAATCTAAGGGAAGTCTGTAAGGAGTACTTTCTCAAACTGCATGACAGGTATTTACCTGTCCTTGAGTGCTGAAGAAAAAGGCTCACAGGGTGATGATGCGAAATTATTTTTAAAATAGCCCTACACTCAAGGAAATGTCCACCAATGTTATCTACGTGTTATTTGTGTGAATAGTCTTCAAAGGTCAGACTGGGCTCTTACACAGCTGCTGAGGCTGGAGAAGAAGGAATGGGCACAGAGAATTTCCAGCTGCTCTCAATCTGACAAAAGCAGCTCCTCAGGCATAATTCACTCCAAAGTGATTAGTGTCATGCAACACTTGGTGTGCTTAAGAAAGGAGCCAAAGGGCCAAAAAGAGATCAGGGAGAAAACTAAGACAACAAGGAAGAGCTAGAGAAACAGACGACAGGGACCAGGGAGCAAGGCACTGAGCAGTGAATGAGGGAAGGCTGGAGAGCAGATGCACGACAATGGACACAGACTTCCTTGGAAGAGTGACTCAATCACCAGCAATGAAGGAGGAAGAAGAGGACAGATAGGAGAGGCAGCAAAGATAATACAGTCATCCCTCGACATGCGGGCAGGGATTAAGGGGTGCGCAACCCCTGAGAATAACTAGGCTACCCCACACCTTTATTTTTAGTAACTCTGATCATATTTAACACCCTAAACAAGTAAAACAACATGCTGCACCCACACAAAAGTGGCAGCTTCTACGAGAGATGAGATCTTGTATGCTAAGCAGTCTTTGCAGCCATCTCGTGTGGCAGCAGCAACGGCTTCAAAGATCTCCTCCTCCTACTAAAAGCGCAAGACACAAAGATCACTGCGGGTGGGGGAAACACGGTGGAGTCTGGATGGTGGAGAAACAAAGAGGAGGCATTCCCATTCTGAGGAGCCTAGAGGTCTTTAGCATACTGAAACTTTCAACAAAATTTAACTGTTTATAATAAATTTATGTACGTATACTTATGGTAGTAAATGACAGAACAGATACATAATATACACTATTTATGCATTTGACTTACTACATGTTTTTTGTTTTCTTTGTATACGCATATTGTCTGCAATTTTTTCTAATAGCTCTCCAAAAATTCGCCTTTAATTATTGATGGCCAACCCGCAAATAACCAAAACCACAAATACGAAACTCACAAACGTCAAGGGACAACTGTATTGTCTTTTTTATTCTTTTCTTATCAATGGAAACACGAGTTGGGGAAAAAGATAGGAAACAAGGTATCATGTTTATCTAAAACACTGAGCTGCTGCTAAGCTTTAAGCCTGAAGATGAAGGGTCTTCTGCTCACACCTGATACCTCCCGACCCCGGTCCCTCTCTTTGGGGCCGATGCCCGTCCTAAAAGAAATTTAATTCCTGAAATATCTGTGGATTAAAAAGGAGAATTACAATTGATCAAAATATATCAATCAGGCATCAGTGGAATATCACCTTAATAAAACTGAAATTCCATGTTTAAACCTGCTCATTAAGTAGGGGTCTGCCAGGGGAACCTGTGCCCTCAGGCATTGCCTCCCTTATCTGTGGATGCTTGAAAGACAGATTATGTTAGTACACAAACTAAGAGTGAGAAAATAGAGAACAAAGCGCTCTTTTAGTTGCTTTGAGCAGTAGAACAAACTAGATTTCACATTAAGACGATCAGCACTGAAGGCGTAAAAATGGTTCATTAGAATTTTTCAAACATTAGACAACAAAATCTCTCCCCCCCACCTCCCAAATATCTACCCATATCCACATACAATTTCCTCCATTTTATCGAAGGAAATGGAAACATGAAGACTTAAGCTTAAATAGATCTAAGAGCTACAAGACCTTCTAATAATTGAGCTTCTGTACAATTATTTGTCTATCTTACAACATTCCTTTTACTAGCTAAACAGGTTGTTAATAAGCACATAGTTCCCAACTGATAAACAATTCATCTATCCATCCATCCATCCATCCATCCTTCCATCCAGCAGCTGCTCCTACTGTCAGGAAGGCCAGTACGTTTTAAAACAAACCAAAAAACGATCTTGAAGGTTTTAAGGCATTCATGGGTTAAGAAGTGGAAGAAGGGGAAAAACCTGACAGTGACCCTAACGGAAAAAGGGATCAAGGATAGGTCCCTGGTGTGTGGGCCTTCTTGCCCCCAACTGTCCTCCCCCAATTGCTTGAATGTTTCTCACTTCACTTGGTTACAACACCTCATGTTGCCACAATAAGGAACCTCAATGATTTAAAAAGAAATACAGCCACCCTTACCTTATTGTGAACTAGTTCTATCATACTACCTTCTTAATTAACAACTATTCATATTTTTGTACATGAAAATGAACTGGTAAACAGGTAGGGCAGAAGTGAAGTGACTAGCTGGGGGCAGAAGGCAGGGGATAATTACCATGCCGTAAAACAGAATCTGAGACAATTTGGTACGGCTAAGACACTGAACCAAATCAAGTGGGACATGTAACAGGGATACTTGAGTGTAAACAATCAATTCCACATGCACAAAATGGAGGAGGTGCAGTTAGCAGTTTGTCTAAAAAAGACGTAGGGATTTTAGGGGATTGCAAACTCAATACAAGCCAACAGTGTGACACAGGAGGTAAGAAAATGAATGCAATCTTAGACTACATTTTGAGACAAAATGTCCAAAACTAGAAAGCCATGCTATGGATACTCCACTCTGATCAGATCACATCCACATCACAGATTTCTTTAAAGTTAAAGGGACCTCAGAGACCATCTCTTCATATTACAGATAAGGAAGCTGAGGCCCAGATGGGTTTAGTCTCAGTGACTTGCCCAGGGTCACATGCCTAACAAGAAGCAGGACTACTGTGATCGGTTTGAGGCATCAGTCTGGAATGGCCATTGACAAACAGATGAAAACTGGTTGAAGGAACTGTCCAGCCAGTATGGAGAAGTAAAGATTTCTGTGGAACAAGATTATTTGGTCAAGTCATGAAAAAGAGACCAAACTTCTGTCTGGCCTCCTTAAGCAGAATCAGGAACAATCAATGGAAACTACACAAAAGACAATTTAGGATTGGTGTAAGGACAAATTTCCCAACATGTAGAGCTAAGCCCAAACAGAATGGCCTGCCTTGGGAAGGCAGTGGTTTTCCCCTCACTGCAGGGCTTCAAGAAGGGGCTGGATAGAGAACATTATTTTTCGAGGTATGGATGGCCACTGAGATGTCCTTCCTTCTAAGAAATTCTCAGTGATTTGGGATACATACCTTGGCCTCTTTATGTCTCAAGAAAAATTCCTTAGGAGTTAGCTCCTAAATCAGAGACAGGCTGGCATGTGCAGGGGTTAAGAGAGCTCCCGATGCAGACAAAATCATGACTCCACCTCTTCCTGTGTCCTCAGTGCCTAACACAGGGCCTTGCATACAGCAGGTATTTTATAAATGTCTGTTGAATTAAATTATGTTAAGCAGGCATTCGTAGGCAGGGCCAGAACTGCCCTCTATAACGAAGTTTCTAGAGGAAAAGACTTTCTGAATTCCAAAAAACACTTGGAACAAAACCCATGTGTAATCTGGGGATTGCCTGTACTTTACTTTATGTGAAGGGTAAGGTTAAGACATTTTATTGCCTTATAAAGAAAACAGTTCCAAGGCCTTTATAAGGTTCGTGTAAAACTAATTAGAAGCAGATTTTCCTTAATTACAAAAATCCTGGCAAGTTGAAACACAGCATCTTTAGCTTCCTTTTCTATTGTGCTAGAGAAATAGAATCACTGCCGTTGTCCCATCATCAGATGGCATTTCTAAACATTCCTATTAGTTGGCCCATCTCTGGGATGACTATATGGAAACCTTCTACTGGATCCACTTCCACACTGGGCCTTTGTCAACTCAAGCAAACCCTGACTTACTGGGTGTGTCAAATGGGAGGAAAGGCCACTGTGGAGGTCTGCACGCCTACAGAAGGGATGATCCTCCCCATAGGTGTGAGGACACAGACTCTCAGGCTGACACAATTTTGAAATGCAGGCAAGAAAAGCCCCAGTGGGTACGGAAATGTGACATTTCACAAGTCTGGATCTGGGGAGGCCCTCATGCAGACTCTCCTTTGAAAAGGGAAGGTCTTCAAAAGATATAAAAAAGAATGCAGCTCACTAAAGTGAGGGAACGTCAGTCTAAAATCAGCTCTCCCAGGTACTCTGCAGGCCAGTGCTCCCTTCCCTTCTCCCACAGAGCCTATGAAAGCATTAACACCACAAGTGAGGAAAGAACTCCCAAAGAGAAGGCACTCTTACAGCTTCGAGCTCTTTCTGGGTCTCATCTTCCATCCTTCGAATGTCTTCCATAGTCAGGTTGATCCACTTATCGATCCAACAAAAGAGCTGGCGGTGAAAGTTGGTAAATATTCTTTTTTCTTGCTTTGAAAATAAAAGAGATAAAGGCACGTTACAAGGCTGACGGGGCAGAGGCACTCTTAAATACACAAACGTTAATGAACCCAAGGCATTTACATGGCTGTGCTGCACCAAGCCCTTTTGCAATGACCATCATGCTAGTCAAGGAGAAGTAAAGCTGCCCTGGGAAGGGCCTGATGTTCGCCCACAGCTGCAAACGCCTGGAATAAGTGAGGCCTTCCCAGAAAGCAGCACAGAGCTCGATTCAAGCCAGAGAAATCACAGGCAGTGTGTGTGACAGTCACGGTCTCACTCATTTTCATGGGCCACTTACTTTTTGAATAAAGTTTTCTACTTTATTCTGCAGACCCCACCACTTGAATTTGATGGTGACCAGCTTGTAGGCACACATTTGGGGACAGTCTTGGTTATTTGCCAGGTCTTTCTAGATGGGGAAAATGGAAAGGAGAAATTATTATTTAATTGTACTTGAAAAAAATGAAATTAAGCTTCCAAATCCATTAAGCATTTATTAAGCACATACTATGTCCTCTGTTTCCTTGGGAGGAAGAGGGAAAAGGAGAGTTATTTAATCCACTCATCCTGGGTTTAATCCTGGGGCCAAGCTCTCCTGAGTGGTGGTAGTAGAGCAGACAAATATAACTCGCTGTATCTAATCAGCCCAATCAGTGAGCCACGAAGAACGGCAGTCCTGAGCACCTACTGTGTGTGTGTGTGTGTGTGTGTGTGTGTGTGTGTGTGTGTGTGTGTGTGTGTGTCTCTCTCTCTCTCTCTCTCTCCCCCCAATCTCACAGGCTTTCCACCTCCTGCTCTGGGAACAATAATCAAATCCATACTACTGTGCCTACTAGAAAGGCTGGGGTCTAGCAACATTCAGATCACTGGCCACCAGTTCTCCAAACAGAATGTAAGAATGTATTGAGAAGTAGACATGGTGGCTAATCTAGGACCTGAAGTCAGGATATCTAGGGCTCCAATCCCATCCTGGAAACTCTGGACAAATCATTTCATCTCTCTGCCTCAGTTTCCTCATCCGTAAGTAGGTGGCCTCCAAGTCTCTCCGAGTACTAAACCTACAATTCTATGATGCTTCTGTAAGCTCCAAGAAGGTTCCCCGGCCCTGTGAGGGCAAGCAGGAAGTATGGAACTTCCGTCTTTGGATCCACAGGGCTTCCTTGGCACATCAATGCGTCATTCATTCAGTCACACTACGCGCAAAGCATTATGCAGGAAAATACCAGAGACAAAATTAAAATCATCTCTGCCCTCTGAAAGTCAGCACGCTCTGGGCATACAAGAAATACAAGGTACTGCATACGAGGTTGGGGAGAGCATTCCTCATCCCAAGGTTCTGGAGGGGCCAAATCATCTGGCACAAGAGGCAGGCCTTCTGAGGTACCGAGTTTTCACAAGTGCTACCAAAACCTATTTGGATCACACCAACACTGAACCCTGCACAGGTACACATTGGCCAACTGGGCTCCAAACACTGGAATGGGGTATGCTCAAAGGACTAAAACTAGAACTCTGGCCCAGGAAAGGGTCCTGCAGCACCATCACCATGGGGCCTGCCAAGAGCTGGAGGGGACTTAGGGAGGGGATCAAAGCAGCCACCTGAGCAAGGATTCCTTCTGCAGCCTCCCTTCCCAACAAGGGCTCCTCCAACTTCTCCAAGATTCACTGACCACTGAGCTCACAGAGACAGCCCCTAGCAGCCCTTACAGGGGGAAGTCTGTACAGACACCAAGCCTAGATGGGTGGCTCTAAAGCCTTCAAAAGATGATTGATGTAAGCATAACACTAGACATCATTTTCTCTCAGTTCTTTATGTTTCGCTTTTAACTCAATTCCAGGGACAAATAATATTTTTAAAATTACATTTTTATATTACCAAGATGGAAAGTCTGCTATCATAATTGTGAGACAGATTAAGTTTTCTCATGAAATCTCTTCCATAAGAGCATGCTTTAGTCAAAGCCTTCACTAACTGATTGTAGGGCAGCTAGGTGGGACAGTGGACCAAGAACCAGGCCTGGAGTCAGGAAGACCCAGCTTCATGAGTTCAAATCCAACCTCAGACACTTACTAGAAGGTGAACCTGGGCAAGACACTTAACCCCTATTAGCCTCAGTTTCCTCACCTGTAAAAGGAGGACTGACTAGGTCAGAAATTCTTTTTTTTTAAAGGCAACTGGAGTTAAGTGACTCCCCCAGGGTCACACAGCTATTAAGCATCAATTGTTTGGTCTGAGGTTGGATTTGAACTCAGGTCCTCCTAATTTCAGGGCCAGTGCTCTATCCATTGCGCCACCTTGTTGCTCCCCTTAGGTCAGAAGTTCTTGTGTGTGTGTGTGTGCGCGTGTGTGTGTGATGGACCCCTTTCTCAGGCTGACGAAGCATCGTTATTTCCAGAATAATGTTTGCAAATTGAAAGATGAGGCACTTAATCCAAATATGGAAAGCGTCTTCATCTGTAAAGTGAGGCACCGGAGGATGAGGATTCTGGTCCACTCTAGCTCTAAGCCCCGGGGCAGACGGAGAAGCAGCCAGGTCCTGGGCTGGTGGGTCCAGGCCCCTGCACAGCTTGCTTGAAGGCAGGCCTGCCTGGATGCGTGCTGCTGCTGGGATACTGGCTCTTTAAAACTGTCAAACCCTTGTGTACAAACAGTGAGCTGAAGTATGACTCTAATTAAAGAACGAGCTAAAAATACACCAGAATGGTTCAAACAAGCTCAGGTTCCGAGAACAGGACATATACATCTGACGTGTACAATTAATGAAGTTTACTCCCCTCTAGGAATTTTTGGGAGGATACTAGAGTTGAATCAAACTATTAAACACTGGTAATGGAAAGAAGGCAACATGAAAGATTCCAGCCAAACCCAACTCTGAGAAACAGCCCAGCAAAGATGAAAAAAGCGTGCCAGATGAAGCAAAGGTTCCATAAAACCAAAGAGAAACATGCACAACCTCTTCCATCTAGTGCAGGACCTGAAGTTTCCAGGTGCTCTGGGCAGGGGGTCCTCAGGGTGCCTAAAGCCATAATGATCTCGAGTTCTGAGCTCATGGAAACAAAGAGGACAGAGCCAGGTCCTAGCTAATGGCCTAATGGCCCACTTTTCCATCCAACACCAGGTACGAGAGACCAGGACCCAGCCACCTCATCCTCCAAAGAAAAGTGTCGAGAACTATATTAGCACCAGGAAAGAGCAAAGTGAAAAGAGAAAGAATCTACAAATCACCTCCAACCAGAAAACATCCAGAAATGCCAGCCAAAATCCATGGCCTCTAGGGCCAAGAGACAGAATGAAAAAGCTCATGTGTCTAAGAACTGAGGGCAGGATCATACAAGAAAACTACACAACTACCAGAAAAAAAGAAAATCTCAGATGCACCACCCTAAAGACAAAAGAAAACACCTACAACCGAGGATAACTCATGCTGAAAAATAGGAGTATCATCCAATGTGGGGGGAAAACGACACACCTTTAATGTGAGAATTCTCTCAAGTTTTCTTAAAGAACAAGATCCTGGGGACTCAAAACACAGCAGACGAGAAGTCTAGAAAGGCAGAGACATTTGAGTAATGCTCCAGAGCAAAAGGATGATCACATGACTACATTCTAATGGGGGAGAAGAGACAACTATCTCTTCAAAGGTCAAAGATGAAGCAAAGTAAGAAAAAATGCAGGGCCTGGGTGTGGTTTTATTGATTTGCTAGTTTTGAAAGAAATAAAAGGGAGGGGAAAAAGACTAAAAGACTAATACTAAAGAAGAAATGAAAGAGAAACGTATTATTTATCATAACTAAAGTAAGCCAGAAATAGTCATCTCACATACCTCCTTCTTATCCATGCCAGGGAAAGGAGGGGTGGCTGCAAAACACACACAGACAGACACACAGACAGACAGACACACAGACAGACAGACACACACACACACACACACACACACACACACACACACACACACACACACACACACACACACACTATGCACTGGCGCCTGCTTGCGCACTCTCTCTGAAGAGTGCCAGCCAACAGGGGATCAATAGGTGGTACGGAGAGGGAAAGGGTGGGAAGGAGCCTAACGTAGAGGTCAGCTTGGGGGAGGGAGCAGCCACAGGGAAAGGGAGAGAGCTGGTGACAAACAGGAAGAACCAGGGATCTGGCTCTGGGTTTGATGAAAAAAGGATGGGCGGAGGAGCAGGATGGCACCACTCCAATGATAGATGACTGGTGCTGAACCCATCCCTTTTTCTTTCCCTACTTTCCTTTTCTTTATTTCAAGGGGACAGGGCCAAAGGGAGGAAAAATAATAACAGGGAAAACTACAAGTAACAATTGTAACTGTGAGTGTGATTAATTTCTTCATGTAACAGGAACATAGCTAGATGAATTAGAAAGCAAAATCTAACAATATGTTGTTTAAAGGAAACACAATTGAAACAAAGATTCCCACAGTTAAATTGAAGGCCTGTGTAGAATTTATGATGTTTCAGGTGAATCTAAAAGAGTTGGGGTAGTAATCATGATAGCTGTTATCTAGAGATTAATTAATAGCAATTGAGGTAGTGTGCATATGTATCAGCTATCCATGGCAACTTTACAAAAATGTATTGTGTCTAAACATTAAAAAACTCCCTCACAAACACAAAAAAGCAGAATGTTAAACACAATTTTTACTGACCACAATACAATCAATAAGGGGAATCTGAAGAAAGGATTGAAATTTAAATGGAGAATAAATAATGTAATTCTAAAGAATGGATAGGAAAAAGAACACATCACAGAAACAATAATTTTATTAAAGAAAATGCTAACAATAAGACAACATACTAAATTCTGGGGGATTAAATCAATGTAGTTCTTTGGGAGAAATTTGTTCTCTCTAAATATTTTCATCAACCAAAGAGAACAAATCAAAGAATTGCATGTGTAATTTTATTTAAAACTTAGAAAAACAACAAATCAAAAAACCTCAAAGAAACATGCAAACATTTTGAAAATCAAAGAAATAAAACTGAAAAAGCAAAAAAAAAAAGTGGAATTGATAAACTAGGAGTTGCTTTTTAAAAGTTAATATAGACAAACAATTTTAATTTGGTTTAAAAAGGGGGGAGGGGGGATCCAAATGACCAAAATCAAAATGTAAAAGGAGAATTCACAAGAGAATTCACAAGAGATACTGGATTGCTTTCTTTTTTTTTGTTTTGCCTGACTTTTTGGGATTGGAGCTATGGTTTTTCATCACAGCTCCCTGGAAGGAACTTTCTTTACCAATTCGGATCAGCACCTTCTCTGAAACTTAAGGTCTTAGAGAACTAAAAAGAGCACAGATACTGAGTGACTCACCTAGGGGTGTGCATGTAATACATTTCAGAGGTGAATTCAGGTCTTCTCAACTCTGAAATAAGGTCTCTATT